CAGTGGGCAAGATGGCTAAGGTCTAATTTCTTTTTTACACAATTGTTATTCTCTTCTACTTCTCTTTCTTCCTTCTTTTTCTTCTACTCATTCTTCCCTCTCTTCTTTCTTCTTTCTTCTTTCCCCCCCTTCCTCACGCTTCTCTCTTCTTTTTCTTCTTTTTCTTCTTTCCTTCACTCTCTTCTTTCTTCTTTTCCTCCTCCTTCCCACTCATCTTTCTTCTACCTCTTCTCTTCTAATTTTTTTTCCCTCTCCTTTTCCTTCTTCCCTCTCTACTTTCATCTTCCTCTTCCTTCTCCCCTCTCTTCTTCCTTCTTTCGTTCCTTCTCTCATCTTTCTTCTACCTCTCCTTCACCCTTTTCCCTCTCTACTTTCTTTTCCCTCTCCCTCCTCTTCCTCTCCTCCTTCCCCCAACCTCTCCTCCTCCTCCTCCTCTTCCTCTTCCTCTTCCTTTTCCTCCCTCCTCCTCCCTCCCTCCCTCCTCCTCCTCCTCCTCCTCCTCCTCCTCCTCCTCCTCCTCCTCCTCCCTTCTCCTCCCTCCTCCTCCTCCTCTTCCTCCTTCCTCCCTCCTCCTCCTCCTCCCCCCCCCCCCCCCCCCCCCCGCGAAGTGTAAAGTTACACTTCACATTAGCCTGAATGAAGCCTGAGCTGCACCACGGACGGGGACTATCAAACAATGGTCTTTATTGAGATAATGAAGCAGCGGTTCGATTCTCGCTTCGTTCTGTGGCCTCGATGTCCCGGTAAATACTATTGTGTGGAGTGATGGGCGCCTAGTGTTCTCCATCAGTAACTTGGTGGGTTTATCGACCAGGTCACACTTGGTCATTAGCACGAGTTGTGGCTTCTGGGTTGTGGAGTCGTCCTTGGGGATTCTCCCTCGAGTACTGGGATGTTCTTCTTAAGGTTTTAGGGTTTTTTATTCTAGGTATGATTTTTTTTTGAGTCATAGAATATCCTTTTTGAGTTCTAGGATGGCCTTCTTTTTTAGTCCTAGGTTGTTCTATTTGAGTCCTAAATTGTCCTTTTTTTGAGTGCTTTCTTGAGTTCATAGATGTCTTTTGTGAATCCTAGGAAGTGTTTTTGAGTCACTGACCGTCTATTTCCTGCAGTCTATTTCAGTCCTTAGACAATCTAAAATAGTTGAGTCTCCCTTCTCAAGTCTTATTGCGTTCTTGAGTTCGAAGCCGCCCTTGAACCCTGCGGTCCTAGAACCTCCCTGAGTCCTTTTTGAGTCCCACGTCCTCCTCGAGTCTCTCCATAAGTCCGAGGACCTCCTAGAGTCCCAGGACCTCCACCAAGGACGTCCTCGATAGCTGGGACGAGTCTGACTATTCCTGAGACAACATAACCCTGTGTGCCGAATTCTGCTATGAGATATGTGGGCAAATGTTTGGGATCCAGCGTTGCCTTTGGGATCGTGAACGTGTGAGTGTTGTTCTATCCTGTTATTGATGGCACTGCGATGGCGAAGGGAAGCATTTCGACGAGGCACTGGCACCTGTGACCTCCACCTACACGTGTTGACGCCGATACAACCCTTTCGTGTCATAAAACTGGGTTACCCTTATTTATCATTCTTTTATTATTGTTATTAACATGAGAGAGAATAAAGACACAACAT